AGTGCGAGTGTCCTGCAGGTTTTAGATGTTTCCTTGATCCAACACGGATGATTTAAATGGTTAAATGACCTCCTCAACATGTCCTGAAGTTCTCCAGAGGCCTGGTAACGAATTAATCATGTGATTCAGGTGTGTTGACCCAGGGTAATACCTAAAACCCGCAGGACACCGGCCCTCGAGGCCTGGAGTTGCCCACCCCTGTTTTACATCCATGTCCACCTGTGCAACCTCTGGAGTGACTACCAGCAACGACACTGACCCTAGCGAAATGCAAAACGAGAGAAAAACAATCAGAAAAGATGAGGACAGAAAAATGTCAGTGGCCTCCACATGCATCGTGCTGTTGCCCCTCTAGTGAGCCTGTCATCGATTTCATTCACACCAAAGCAGCTGAAACTGATTAACAAATCCTTCTGCTACTAATCTGACCAGATCAATATCCAACAAGGATAACTGCTTTGGTGCTATACTCTGATTAAAAAGTGTTCCTTTCATTTTTTGACTGTGACACAGTCAAAGAGGGTTACACACACACACACACACACAAATACAGTACAAGTCAGCAGAAAAAGTACAACAACACAGTACAACACGTGCACAGCACCAAGTGCCTGTAACACTCCTTTGTTGCCATGTGCTCTATCAGATATAAAACGACTACTTTTAAGAGGGAAGGCTGCAGGCTGCTCTCTCTTAATAATGCATCAGGGCAATAACATGTGTGCATTATACTGAGTGAACCAGGCAGGCTCAGAGAGAGTAATGACTGACATTTTTGTTACTTCAAGACCACAAGGTTAGTCGCATTAATCTTGAGCTATTTCTAAAGCAAGACAGGCCACCTCCCCCACATGAGATGTGTTTTTACTTTTCATTCAAGCACTCGTGACTTTAGGAAAGACTCTTGCTTCTGTCTGCTCTGATCATGTCTTTATGATGTTAATATTGTTATTGATGTCCTTGGGCAGATTGTTTCCTAAAGAGAGGTCAGAGGTGAGGCACTGCTGTGGAACGGCAAGGATTATGATGAAGATTAAGGAAATGACGTTGTCCCTTTCAATCATCCTTTTCCTGTTTAGATTCACCTAATTAGATGATACCATTCTTGGGTATTTCCAATTTACAGTATCTTATACTTTGACTTTTCTACTATTCAGAGGCAAATACAGTAAATTCACCAAGTTTAGTGTTCTTTCACTTCGAGTAGTGTCTTATGGATTCACTCAAACCCAAGTACAGACTGAACAACAGCTGTTCCTCTGTTGTCTGTTCTTATCAGATCATTGCCATCGTTGCTTTGACATTTCCTACCCTAATAAACACTGCTGTAGACTAAGTACCAACTTGGGGAGGCAACAGCACTCCTCAGCAGCAGCAATTTCTCTCAGCAGGTCAATGCACCCTGACAGAGTTCAAAACTGATCAGAAAAGACTTGAGAAAGTGGCTCGAATATCGGCAACAAAGCCCATGTACAGCGGCCCACCTTACAACCCACTGGATCCAACAGACACCAAAGGATACTCACAGATTTACAAAGTGTACCTGCACTATAGCAGACTGGCAGAATATTTTAATCCACAATGAAAAAAAACATATTAGTGTATTAGTAAAGTGAAAACTGTTGGACCCATGATGGAGTGTCATCCTTTCCAGGTTACCTTGCCTTCTAATGTTAGCAGGGCTTAGTTCCAGCCACACTGTTATCCTGGTTGGATAGGTGGTTAAAAAGACGGTTGAATAGCTGGGTAGATTATATTAAAAATCAAGCACAACAGTTTATTGTTTAGTGCTACAGCACTTGAGGAAGTTTCTCTTGGCAATTCAGTATCTCTACTTGCTGTAAATAGTCTGAATTCAAGAGGGTGTGAAGGCAATGCTCTGCCTCAGTCATATTCAATTAACTCAAAACCCATTACACAGCTAAAGGTGTTAAATAATGAACACTTTTCATTACAAATGAATGGAAGGCACTGTAAGTGCCTCAAAATCCTGGGGGAAAAAACTACATTAATGGCAAATTAACCAACAGCAGAAAGGAAGATGTTGCAGACTTGTTGGTGATGGTGAATAATTACCATCCATCGCAAAAACCAACCAAATGAATCAGGAAAGGTTACAGTCCATCAATGGAGGTTAGACATTTATTATTCAATGCTCAGTCTTATATCAGTTATGAACGAACAATATAGCATTACATCCAGATCATTGTATAGTATTCCCTTTATATCTCACAGTCATACACTACATACACAGTGTGAACAAGACTGGCTACACATCTTGTCTAATATATCACATGCTGTCTGTCACTAACTGATGTGTACAAACACAGCTGCAGTTTTTGATTAAACTAGTTCAAAAGTGAAAGATGGTCTCATTACTGGGTGAAACTGGAGGCAAGGAAATGGGGCACTGAGGCAAAAGGAATTGAAGAGGGAGGGAGGACATAACAGCCAAAAGCTGTAGGGCCGGCCTGAGGGAGTCACACCAAATGTCTGCGAAGAACAAAGTTGAGCAGTGTTTGTGCATGATGCTAAAGTGAGCAGTGTCCAGCGTTATGCTAATGTGTTTGTGTCAGAACACAGTAGTGTGCAGGTATGTTTGAATGGGATTTTTTTAAGGTAAGTGGGACAAAAACAAAAGGTTAAAGCTCAAAGCTGACACACAAAAAAAAACCCCCAGGGGCTCTATGCCTTTGGGAAGGAAACTAGCTAACGGCATTAGCACACAGACTGGCCTTCTCTTCCCTGACTGTGTGCCAAAGCAGCATAATGATGCACTCGACTAAAACAGTGTCATGGTAAACAATTAAAGATCCTGATTGAGAAAATAGTTATAATTTAAAAGAGTTTTAACAACTGTGTAAAAAATCTGACCACCGTATTAACTCTAGTAGCCCGTTGACTAGCAAAGATGCTAATTCTTTAGCATTCAAATTTAGTATTAAACCAAGATAATTTAAAGTTGGATCAAAATAAAATGTCAAATCTAGACGTCAGACTATAATCAGCAGAGCAATACTTTGGGCTAAATGCAAATATTAGCATGCTAACAGCGGATTTCATCATAGAAATTCTATATGATCGGCAACATTTGCGAACCTGCTATAAACACAAGGTTCAACTGGGCCATAAACTGGGTCATATACTCCCATTTAGGCATCTACTCAAACTTGAAGAACTGGAAAAATGTTAGATGTTGGACCTAGACACCGTTAAGAAAATTATAAAATTAACACACAGATTTTTATAATTTCTTGATTAACTATTGTACGGATCTGATTTTTTTTTTTTTTTTTTTTTTTTTAAAT